CAACTTTTCCGGAGGCATCGGAGCACAGAGCAAGGAGCTCAGTTCCCACGGGTGCAACTTTCTCACGAACGATCTCGGCTTCATTTCAGGGGGTAGGGGACCTTGCTCGAGGCGAGCAAGGTAATCCGTGCCAGGCACCGGTCCATCGGCGGTTGCCGGAGCGCATCGTGATCCGATCAACTTCTTCCGCTCATCCCGCTCAACGCTGGGTCTTCGCCTCTAAGAATGTAACAGCGGCAAGCTGAAGAGCGAATGGCTTCTTACTCGGGCGAACAGTGCATAGTGCTAAGTGCGTGGGCTCAGAACAGCCGAACAGCTCGATTAAGAAGCGCACAGCGTGTCTCGGCCTGCTGCGCCGTCAGAGCCGGTCTCGCAGATACGTCTTTGTTTAGCGTGCGAGCAGAGCTCGCCGATACATCCAGGGCCAATAGAGACTGGATGCACTTGAAGCACAGACAGTCTACAAGAGACTCAAGCTAGGGTTCAGATCGTTCAGATGCGGCACGCAGCGCTCTAGTTATGTATCGCCACATCGTGATTGCTACCACGTCGCCAACCCGCGATTCATTATTCTGTCGCCGCCACGAGTGCATTTATCTTGGGTCCACTGCGGGCTCAGAGTGCCGCAGTATATCGACCGGCAAGGCTGGCGCTGCTCAGAGACAGCGACGAGTCCGTAGGCTATGTCAGACTTCATAGTGACGGCTTTCATGTGTGCTCATCCACCACTTCTTAGCTTGCGGAGGCACTAGATAGTCAGCTACGGTGTTGCTCAGATAAGTACTCCAGGTTCACTCTTCGGACTACACTAAAGAACGAAGTTGTCAAGGAGACGATGCCGGGTCATCGCGCGCCCATAGAGTAGCGGCCTCATCATTCTTGCGTAACTTGGGTTGGTGTACAGTGCTATTGTCGGTATATAAGGCAGGGTGAACAACAGTCAGAATCGCGATACGAAGAGCGTATATTCGGCGGATATAAACTGGAAGAAAATGATGTCAAGACGCGAAGTGCAATCGCTATCTAGACCCCGAAAGCGTGACGAAGTCAACCTTGTTCAGTGCCGTTTCCCGACGTCTTGTGTTCTACAGTACAGGCAATGAGACTAGCGCATGAATCTGATACGTCGGCCGCGAAGTCGCTCTCGGGCAAGGCAGCTGCCGGCGTTACGGCAGAGAAGAGACGGTTGTGACTCGCTTTGCGAACTTACGCGGAAGGCGACTATCGACTAATGCTTAGCTGCCCCTCTATGTGCTAGAGGTGGAATCGTACCTAGAGCAGCCCACTTTTCCAGAGGAACGGACGCATCTATTCTCCTGAACACGAGAGGAATGCTCGAGCTGAACACCGGGATTGCCGCGCATGCCACGCTCGCGGGACGTGATTGCGGTTGGAAGAGCGCAAGAGGCGTGTTCATGGAAATGCATGAGCAAATCGCATGCCTCCTTCTCTAAAGGGTCGACTGACGCGCTTTCCAAAGTTGTAGATTGTCGGGGGAAGGCTGGCATCTGCTCAATAACCGATTCCACGTCTATAGCCATGCGCGTCTTTTCGGCACGAAATGGCGTCTTGCGGCTACTGGAGGTTTGTGCGAGTGAGAGCGATCGCACAGATGAAATTGACCTCAATGATGCATGTGGCGCACTTCGATCATGGTCCAGTGGCGTCCGCGTTTGGTCAGTCGCCTCGTATCCTGATAGGTTGGAGGCTAGAGGGGCTGCCGGGAACGAGTAGTGGTTCTTGCTCGTGCCGACATCGTCCCGGCTACTGTCATGAGTGTTGGCGAGCCTCGCAACCTCGGAGTCTTGTTCACCGCCCCGGGAGATGATCGCCTGACGGCGATATGCGTTTGTGATGGCTTTGCGTTTTAAGCTGAAGTGTGCCGTGTAAGAGTCCGCGCATCTGTGACTGCGCGGGTTCTGTACATTGGACGAGAGCTTCTGATCCCTTTGATAGTCCCCTTGTGTACGAGACGGCCTACTTTGCTCCAAGGTCAACGGGGATGAAGTCATGGTACCATCCTGGACAAGATTTGGTCGCGGTGGGAGCGCAAGCATGTAAGCAAATAAGCTTCGGTGAGCATCATTGCCGTTGGCGCTATTGGGGAGGGCGCTCTCGAATGGTCTGGGAGGGCTTTGCGCGGGAGGACTAGCGGTTGCGGCGCGACGAGTTGCCGTGTATTCGGAGCCGACACTCGCACTACCTGCCGATGCCCCAGTCGCGAGATGCGAACACGTGTTGAGGTGCGGACCACACGCTTCGTAGGGACCAATGGTGGCCTCCAGTTGCTCAAATGTAAGATGAGCCACATTATGCCGAACCTTGTATAGTGCATATTGAAGTCTGGCGCGTAGATTTCTGGATATCTAGAGGTACATTATGTTAGATGACGTCCATCTCGCTCATGCGGTAACAGCCAACCTGGTCGAGCTTCAGTAAATCTCGCCGCTAAGGAACCACCATCTAACCACATGTGCTGACCTGCTGGTACGCAAACCTTTTGCGCAGTTGGGTCTTGACACCTTCACGCTCTTGAGGGTTCTCTTCCTCCGGGGTTTGGTCTTCAGTCCTATTGACAAGAGCGTCACCAGTCGGTTCGCGTTGAGCGACAGCCGCGACTGCTGCAGTGGTCGGTTCAGTCATGATAGTCAGCAGCGTCTTGGTACTGGCGCAGTTCAGCAAGAGTGCCGTAGCGACAATACAAGCGCAGGCTCCAATCAAGCGTGGGCGTAGGGTTCGAAGGGGGTCCTATGTCGGGAGAGTCGCGAGGGACCAGGCCACCTGACCGAGATTGAATCTGACGTTCATAAAACAGCGTACATTGTATGGCATCATCCATTCTCTCTGCTTCTCCATGAGAATCTGATCCCATGCCGCTCGGGTTTGGCAGCGGTACACCAGTTTGGCCGGCAAGACGGTATTTCGCTCGGCGATTCACATGCTGGCCAGTCAGAGTTGACCCGGTGATCATACACTATAGACGAGCAGCCTCCGCGCTTGCAGAGTGCACAGGTTCAGAGGGTGCGGGGTAGTCATCGTGAGAGGCCGAACCACCACACCCGGGCCGACGCGGCGTCTTCAACCCTAACCCAAGACCAGTGCAATCATCTCACGCATCGCCTCTCGGCGAATAGTACTAATGTTCTACGAATAGTCCTTCTCGATATCCTTCATCTACTCGCGCTAGCTCAAATAAAGCGTCGATTACCATGTGCACATCACGACTCGTTGCTCGCGAAGTTCTACACGCTGCACCATCTAGGAAGTGAGGACTGGACAGGAGAATACTCGCCCAGGAATGAGCATGGAAGAACTGGGTACACCCCTTTCTTCAAGTTCAAGTTCAAGAAACCCAATTCTCATGTCAAGTATGCGCTACCAATGTGCGTCGCTTCACGACGGATGTTACCAGAGGACCCAAGGGCGTAGACCATACTATTGCCAATTGCACAGTGCCAGTGCTTGTACATCCAAGTTACATGATATGTTCGTGCCATAAACGCAATTCCGGGGGTCTCACATGAGCAAGCTTGTAAATATGGCCGCCGCCCCAACCATGACCCCTCCAGCAATATGCGCTAACCCATACTCGCCGTTGCGTTTCACCGTTGTAACATCCTCCTTCACTAGCCTGTCACGGACGTCCCCGACAGCAGCATAGTCTGTGCCAATGACTAGCGGCACTTCGTCCTTCTGCGTACGGTCTTCCGGGACGACTGCGGCGGTATGAAAGCCGAGATCCTTCGCAGACGACTGTAGCTGCTCCACGTCCGTAGTTGCCACCATGTAGACAGACACAGGTACATGCGAAGCGACACGTTCCAATTCGTCGAGGAAGCTTTCTCTGGCATTCTCGCTCGCAGAGCGTACAATGGGACGCGACGAATGCGTACTAGGTCGTCGCGCGAGGGACGATGGTTCCGAAAGGCCGGGATCCTCGGCGCACTTGTCAGGATTCCAAGATTCCACGCTCGGGGTAGACGGAGGACTAGGAGATTCGCTCGTTCGATTGTCGCTTGCATAAGGAAAGAGTGTACACGGCATGAGACGTCTCCGCTCTCGCCGAATCTTCGCTATAGAGCTCATGTCCTCGGGCACAGAGGACGTAGTAGCCGCAGGTGTTGCAGGCGCAATCTCCGCTTCTGGACTGATACGCAGAGAGCTGAGGGCACTCGCAAGGGACGTATCAACTATGGAGTTGTCATCCGTTTGTGGTGATCCGTACGGGCAGCCCGTGCGCGGGTGGCCCTTGCGAAGCTTCATGCAGATTTGACATCGCGGACGGCTCCTCGCCTCGGGGGTGGCAGAAGCCGTTCTGCTGAAGGTCTTCTGCGGGGTAACAGGGGCGACAGACGCGCGGGTTACTGGTGCCATGAAGATCGGTCGCGGGAGTACAGTGATGGAGGACTGAGGGAAGTGAGGCGTACGAGCGTAAACCCTTAGAGCGCCGGGCGTGGGTGCACGCAGCGACTTCGTGATTTGATTTTTCACGGCCCAGTTAGCGCCTTAACCTGCCGTCTGACCGATGATGAGATCATCCCCACAGGGAGTACATAGACCGTCGGGGCACTGCAACTGCACGATACCCAATTTGTCATAGCAATAGTGAGAACGAGAGTCAGCAAGAGGCGACAGTGCTGAGGCTGCCGACCGCGCGTTCTGACGAACACGCGGCGGAGCCTCCTTCTCCAATTCGAACTTCGATACGATACATAGAACATTTCACAGCAGAGCTCGGTGGGAGACGGGGAATGGCAAAAGTGTGATCACGGATGGGTGAGTGTGCCGACAACTACGGGTCGGGCTTCAGGCCTCTTGGGCGCGGGAGCGCCACGGTGACTACCCGAGCCCGAGTGCGGCGATTGCCGACCGGCTCTGTTCCGATCCTTCTTCAACACCTCCTGAGACAAAAGACACCCATCTTGACACCCTCATCGTGGTCAATGCGCCTCATCTGGATGGCGTATGCCGAGTACTTCAAGCGGCAGGTGAAGAGCATGCCTATTGGAACTTAAGGCGGACCCGGCCAAACCCCATACGGTCGGGAACGACCAGATGCGCTGACTGCTCTTCGCAGCCGTCATTCTATCAGCTTGGCTGCCCTGTTGCGGCCGCACCGGGACCATCATTTCCAGTGAAGTGCGAAGGACTGCTTACATAGATGACTTCGCAGGTGTACTATGTCTGATGGCCTGTCACTTGTGCTTGGCTTCTTGATAGGCGAGAGTATCAAGGCGAACTTTAATTCCCGAAGTGAAGCACGGTCTGGTCTTCGTCGCAGAGCGTCTTTGTATTGGAGGAAATTTCTCGAGCCATGCGTTTGAATAGGAGAAACAAGTGCATAGCTTGAGATACTTCAGCGACAGGCCTGGACCGCGAATTTCTTTGGCCATAGTGATGGGCACCTTCAATCCGAACTCAACTCCGATCTTCAACTATTGGCCCACGGTACGTTCTTCTCGGCCATCGCTTGGAGTTGTAGGCCGGCTGACAGCGCTCATCATTACCTGCACGGACTATCTCCCGTGGATTCCTGACGATCAGGAACGAATGTTGAAGCGACACGCCCCGCCGCAGCTCTTGGGACACGCGTCAACTCCAGCACGACTTCTGTCGCACCTCCCTACCTACATTTTGTATTGCATCTTTGTGAAAGCTGATATAATCTCCCTACAGATCGGCTTATGTACAATCTCGCCATCGACCCGGCCGTCATCCGAAGCTTTGTTGGCATACAGTCGAATAGCGTATACTCGTCCGCGCCGAAGGCAGAGCGCTTAGTTCCTCGTGGCGTTACTCACTCTAGCTCGGTTCGGCAGCCTCATGCCCTCATCGACGTAGTATGCTGGAAAGCCTACGAGTTTCCGCTAACTTTCATCTGGCTTTGGCGTCAGACGCGCTCATGTTTTTGGGCACTGTGAGGCGTGTCTACTTCTAATCACGGTGTGATCATGCGCCATCTCGAATACACCTCCTCTCATGCAGACACAGCTGGATTACATAACCCCGCAGTCAAGATCAACGCGTATACTACAGAAGCCCTGTTATCGGGCGTGTGTGGGAGTGACGACAGGCGAGATAGCTGAACCCCATCCTGTTTCCTTCTTCATCTCGACGGGTCTTTACTCTCTCCCGGCGCTATTAGCACCATGGTTCGATTCACGAGTAGATCCAGCCAAAAACTCGTCGGGCGCCAGGGTCAGCCCTACCGCCGTGCTCTTATAAGGATCTAGTCCGTTGACACTCCCATTTGTCTTTTTGGAAATTTCCCAGATCAATCCCCTCAGAGTCATTTCGCCACGGTACAATCGGACATGCCTTATACGCCTGCACAGCTGTACTATCACGCCACTTCTGCTACGCGCGGGTATGGGTCCGCGGGTCACGACCCTCAGCTCCAGTTGTGGAGTAGGGATGGGTACATGCTCTACCATCCTCACCGGTACCCTGCGCCGGTGCGTTAGGTGATCGCCTTGGTCACTACCTCGCTGCTGAAACTTTCGTCACGTAGGTGGATAGCCATTGCGCGCCACAGAGCATGGCATACACGCAAGTCTACCACGACCTGGTCCACGTCGACCCATACTGTGTTCCATACGCGGCCTCGCATGGCAGCGCTGGATACGCACATCAAACAACGAGTCACGCACCCCCACCGCTCACGGCTAACGCTGGCTCCCCCCCACTCCCGCCGCACGCCACAGAAGCAAGACAGCGTGAGCGAAGTTCAGTCGCATCGATTGATGCGCCGTACTCGGTAAGCTTCTCGGTCTCTTGTCCTTGTGTGTGCTGCTAACAAAGCGCGCAGGGTCACCATAACAGCAGCCATCACGTACACCACGATCAAGTAAACGGTCCACGAACACACTCATACACGATCAATGAAGCTTGGCGGCGTCCACCAATCATGCCGTCAATCCCAGAAGTCGCGTGCTCGCCGTACAGCAGTCTCGCACACGCTCTCGGAGACGTCATATCGAAACGGCTGGACTCATCAACAAGCATGAGCCCGAATATACATGCGCTGACTACAAGCACAGGCGTACTTTCTGCAAGTACGGAAGCGCCGCCATTGCAAGCAACATGGCCGACGCCTCCGATGCCCGAGACCAACGCTCTGTCAACGAGGATGGTTAAGGTTGAAAATGACGAGCAAGAGGCTCCCTTCACACAAGAGAGTGAAGTACTGGCTTCGGCGGTAGCGGAAACGGAGCCGCGCCGCAAGCGGACCCGCGGGCCGAATAAGGCTCCAAGGAAGGGTCCGGGCTTCCTCGCGTGCTTCTTCTGCCGTGGACGCAAGATCTCGTGCAACCCCGTAGCAGGCAGTGGGGACAAGAAATGCGAGTGAGTACTGTATAGCCTGATGATCTAGGTGAACTTGGCGGTAGCGATGAGCAACGGTTGCTTCGCAATCGGATATTTCGCACTCAACACTACCGCCGGACGGATTGCGCTATCAGGATCTCCTCCTATCAGGACACGCATCCTTGAACTCTTCGCCTTTGCCTCTACTTCATGCCGCGAGACCCGGAGATGATATGCTCACTACTCAATCGCAGGCAGTGCGTGATACGCAATCTACCATGCCAGTATCCGGCGATCTCTAGGCGTGGTCAACGCGGGCATAAGCGCAAGGACGTGCAGCTGGGTCGCCGATGATTCGATGATGCTGCAACGTGCTGATTCTAGCCGCGCCTGCCTAACTCATTACTGCACGCCATTTATGATTGATTTATACTCATCCGCTGTAATCTTAATGTCAGGGTTTGATATGGCGGTCCAAACGCGTCAAAAATCGAATCTGATTG